ACTGACTGATCAATCTGGTTGCAGTCCCAACGACTGTCTGTTCGCCTTCCCATTGCACTGAAAGCAGTTTATGCGTGCAGGTAATTACAATGTATTCCCAGAGAAGCCCTTGCGACTATACTGAGGCGTTTGGGGTAAACTAACCACTTGTGGAAGGTTTACCAGTGTTCTGACCCCAACTCACCATAAATCTTTCCTTCTTTTTTCTGCCTGGTTATGCGATAATCTCACTCCGACTATCCACTCTGAACTCTAATCGTTGCCGATTCCAACCGAGTGCATCAATCGATTGTACACCGAACGCATACGCATCGTACAGATCACTAGTGGTATCAGTGTCTAGGATTCGACCAACATTAGCATTTAATCGAGTCACATGACCATTCGGTTGTTTTCTATCGAATTGATCATATCTCCTGTCAGAATCGACCAGAAATGGACCCTGTTAATGTTTGGTATTTGGTCCATTCAACACAATGACGACATACTGTTGCTTCGCTTAGTACTGCCTTTCGTCGGCTTTGTTTGATAGACGAACTGTCACTTGCGCCCGTCTCAGTTACGTGATGCTGTCATTCTTTTTTATTGTTCAGTGCACACCGTTTCATCACGCTACGTGGCATAAACAGAAATAGTCGGTTTGAACGATCGATTATTCCAGTCACGTTTCCATCTCTCACGGGATGTGCGAATGTGTAGGTTTGATCCTTGTACCCGATTGTCTGTCTGTTTGCCTGCAGTGTGTGTATGCGCGATCTAGGACGCCGTGATAATAATATGCGGTGTCCGGATTCAATCTGACCGCCGCAGACGTGTAGTTTTAAAAGGCAGTATTGCAGTGAAAGCCTTGGAAGCATTCCTTATGCTTGTATCTTACACGCGCGTCTGACTGGCACAAATACCTCCCTTTCACGGCAGTCTGCGAAATGTCATGGAGAGAAGAGATTGCCGACTAAAAGTGTATCCATCATGTGCATGTATGCCAGTGGTATTTGCCAGGCTAGCTTGACTTTGTGCTGCTTTGAATATAAGCTCTTTCGAACCCCATACTTTTTGAAGCCTATCATGTTCTGAGTTAGCGAATTCCATTTATCCCATTCCACCTCAAACGATCCTATTCTTATCATATTGGTAGCCTAATGAATTCCTAATTCCAAGCGTTTGCGTATTGATTAGTTTGACGATCTGTCTCAATTGACCAACACCGCAGACTACCTTCTGGGCAATTTTTGTATGTGTTCATTCCCATACTTCATACGCATTTGTTGGTAAAAGCAGTCACTTAAGTTTACTGGTGTCAACTATTCCTCACAAACCGTATAGTTCTGCTATCCAAAGTCATCATCAAGGCTATGAATTGACCCGCATGAATCCATTTCTTTCTCCTTAACTATCTAATTTCCCGGGCGCGAACTACATACAAAACATCATTATATTTCACATTTGTTTGAATCCCGACAGTATCACAAGTCAGTCATAGCCTAACAGTCTTTGTAACAAAGAAATATGTCCATGTACTGCTCGTGAGTAGAATGCAATCACGTTAAAGTGGTGCAGTGTTTTAGCCACTATCACCGGCTTGCTTTGGACGCCATCGTTCGGTGTTCGAGCCCTGCCACTGCCGCCCAACTTTGGTGGTAGACACCTTTGCTGTCGTCCGGTTCAATACTTTGTCTAACCTAGCGGAGCCTTCTGTGGTTGGCCACTTCATTTCCCGGAGCTTGGGTTGCTGGTTACCGTCATTGAACAACAAGTCTTCGTGACTATGTGGTTTACCCCATCTATTGTTCGACACACACTGATGTGTAATAAAAAAAGAGTAGTAGATCATCATTTGAAGCACCTCATTCCTTCGGATTTATGCATGTATAAAATGTGATAACGGTACAGACACAGGATTATCAAATAATCCGTCTCCGACAACTTCTCTTGTCCAGAAAGCGATTCGAAAGGTAGTGAACAGTTCAACCGGTGTAAGAATTTCTTTATTTATGGGGAAAAGGGAAAACACATTGTGATTGGTTGACTAGATCAATGTCAACCATCTTAATCGGATGTGGATTCTGTCCCATCGTTCGAGCTGGTTTATCTTTGGTTTGATTGGT